AAGAAATCTTCAACTTACCAGCTCTGTTCTGGCAGAGATACGGTCTCCACAGCTGATGGATCCCATCTTCCTATTGCTGGGAAGGGAGTCAAGATTAGTGATTCTATTTCTCTACCCTCTGTCCTTCATGTTCCCAGATTGAGCACTAATCTGTTATCTGTTAGTAGTTTGACTAAGAACCTGAACTGCTCAGTAATTTTTTCTCTCCTGGTCGTTGTATTTTGCAGGATCTGATTCAAAGAGGACGATTGGGAGTGGTAGTGAAGTGAATGGAATCTACCTTCTGGATGTACTTCCTTCTCATCAGAGTGATCATGTCAGCAGGGATAGTGAGTTAGGGTCTGTGAGTCAAATTATGTTTTGGCATAATCGTTTGGGTCATTTACGATATTCTTCTTTGAGTTTTTTGTTTCCAAAACTTTTTGAGTCTGTTAGTTTGTCAAGTCTAGAGTGTGAAGGTTGTCAACTTGGAAATCATTGTAGACATTCATTTAAACCTAGTAATAAAAGATGTTCTTCTTCTTTTGATGTTATTCATTCGGATGTGTGGGCCCTTACCATGTTCCTTCTATGGGAGGCTATCGCTATTTTCTCTTATTTGTGGATGATTTCTCACGATACTYTTGGATTTACCTGATGAGATCCCGCGATGAGGTACCATCCTTGGTGAGGCAATTTCATCAGATGGTACTAACACAGTTTGAAACAAGAATAAAGGTGTTCAGATCTGACAATGCCAGGGAATATTTTGAAAGACATCTTGCCTCATATCTGTTAGAATATGATGTTGTCCATCAGAGCAGTTGCCCCTATAGTCCACAGCAGAATTCTGTTGCAGAAAGGAAGAACAAACACATTGTTGAGACTGTAAGAAGCATGATGATCACATCTACAGTTCCAGTTCGGTTTTGGGGTGATGCAGTTCTCATAGCAGTATATCTGATTAACAGGGTGCCCTCTCGTATACTTGGATTCAACACCCCATTCAGTCTTTTTTTTCCTCAGGGGGAGATGTTTCATATTCCTCTCAGGGTGTTTGGGTGTGTCTGCTTTGCACATATCCTTGGTCCTCACCGCTCGAAGCTTGATCCCAAGGCAAAGAAGTGTGTCTTCCTTGGATATGCAGAGAATCAGAAAGGGTACCGCTGCTATGATCCAGTCTCTGGGAGCCGGTATGTTACCATGGATGTCACCTTTTTTGAATCTACATACTTCTTCTCAAGGAATCCTTCTCAGGGGGAGTGTTTTGGGGAAGTGAGTCAACAATCTATTCCTCCCAGTTCCAGTCCTTGTGTCTACTCCTGTGTTTGACCACCACTTTGTGGCACCTACCTTGCCACCTTCTTTGTGTTCTGCTTCTCAGCATTACTTACGACAGAGACTTCCCAAGGAGGTTGATTCTACTACAGCAGAACTCACATCACTTCCTGTCGATTCTTTTGAGACTCCAGATTCGGCTGCCATGGATTCATGTATTCCTTTTGGTTCTGCTACTGTTTCAGTTCGCATTGATCCTACTAACCCTGTTACAGATAACCTTGATTATTGCTCTCAGAAAAGGGAAGAGAAAGTGTACTGCTCTTTGTATTTCGCAGTACTTATCCTACAGTAGACTTTCTCCTTCCTACCGTGCTTTTCTCTCATCTCTTGATTCAGTGTCATTACCCAAGGGTGTTAGTGAGGCTCTCTCCAAACCTGAGTGGAAGACAACTATGCAGGAAGAGATGGCAACCTTGATTAAGAATCAGACATGGGACATTGTGGATCTACCAGAAGGCAAGGAGACAGTTGGATGCAGATGGGTTTACACAGTAAAATATAAGGTAGATGGAAGTATAGAAAGGTACAAGGCAAGACTTGTTGCGAAAGGGTACACACAGACCTATGGCATTGATTACTTAGAGACCTTTGTGCCAGTTGCAAAGATGACCTTCGTTCGGATACTTCTTTCTCTTGCTGCCTCATACTCTTGGCCCTTGTTTCAACTTTATGTGAAGAATGCTTTCCTAAATGGGGATCTGCAGGAAGAAGTGTATATGGATCTTCCTGCTGGCTTTTACAATGATACTGAAAAGGGAAAGGTATGCAGGCTTAATAAGTCACTTTATGTTTTAAAACAATCTCCTTGAGCATGGTTTGACAGATTCAGACAGTTGATTGTTTTTGGCTACACTCAGACTAAATCCGATCACACCTTGTTTGTGAAGCGAAGGGGATCTTTGGTGTCAGTCCTAATTGTTTATGTGGATGATATTGTTGTCACCGGGAATGATCTGAGTGAGATTGATGGTCTGAAAAAGAACATACATAAAGAATTTGAAATTAAAAGTCTTGGAGAACTGAGATATTTCTTAGGCATTAAAGTTGCAAGATCAAAACATGGAATTTTTATTTCACAAAGGAAGTATGTCTTGGATCTTCTTCAAGAGACATGGAAGTTTGGAACAAAGACAATCAACACCTCTATTGATCAGAACCATAAAATCAATGCATCAGAAGGTGAACCAGTAATGGACATTGGGAGATATCAGAGACTTGTGGGTCGGCTGCTATACTTGTGTATGACAAGACCAGACATCTCCTATGCAGTAAGTGTAGTAAGTCAATACATGCATGCTCCACGACTCCAACATTGGGAGGCAATTGACAGGATTCTTGCTTATCTGAAGGGACACCCGAGCAGAGGCATATTGTTTACTGATCATGGACAGTTGAAATTAGAGGCTTATACAGATGCAGATTGGGCAGGATGCCTTGATGACAGGAGATCAACTTCAGGAGTGTGCACCCTAGTTGGGGGTAACCTTGTCTCATGGAAGAGTAAGAAACAAACAGTGGTGGCACGATCAAGTGCTGAAGCCGAATACAGGGCCATAGCACATGGAGTTTCAAAACTTCTCTGGATCCGTTCCCTGTTAGAAGAAATTGGTATACAGGCAGAAGAACCTATGATGCTATACTGTGATAACCAGGCAGTAATTAACATTGCCCATAACCCAGTTCAGCATGACCGAACTAAGCACATTGAAGTGGATAGACATTTTATCAGAGAGGGTAACTTCTGGAGAAGTTTGTCTTCCATACATTGCTTTTGATCTACAACTCGCTGATGTTCTCACAAAAGGCGTTGCAAAGAACAAGCTGGAGCATGATCTACGCAAGTTGGGAATGTGTGACATTTACTCCCAACTTGAGGGGGAGTGTTGAGTTGGTCTGGTTTGTTTTTATTTAGTTAGGAAGTTGTTGGGCTTTAGGCCCATTAGTTTATGTTTTTTTAAGTTGTGATTGTTCAACTTTTAGTAGCCGCCCTACTAAGGGCATCCTTGTAATATCTCATCTTTTTAAGTTAAGTATAAATATAATGAGAGGGTGGCGGCTAGGGTTAATTTCACAATCCTGGTTGACTTCGTACTTTCTTCTTGTTCTCCTTTCTTCTCTACTTCTGAAATCTTCATCTTCCCCCTCTTTCCTTCACAAGAAACTCGACTAAATCTACAATTAGTGATCTCTACTAAGACATATCAGGGAGAATGTTTTGGGCCTGCAATCTTGAGATACATGCCTCAAGAAACCTATATATACACTAAAACAAGGATGTCTGTGCTTTTTTCTGTTTTTTTTTGAATTTTCTGTTTTTGTAACTCAAGTAGCCAATCACCTTTAAGACTTTTCCCACTATCTTTCCTCATTATCTTACCATCAACTCTCCTCTTTCTCATTAACTCCAATTATCTCTTCTCTTAAATCATGCCATTAAGTCTCTCTCCTCCAATAACTCAGGCTGTCTTGTGTAACAGCATCACATTGTAGCTAATTTTTTTTCCCTTTAGTAGTACTCATTAACTACTCCAATTATCTCTCGCCATTAATCATGCCATTAACTCTCTCTCCTCCAGTAGCTCAGGCTGTCTTGTGTAACGTCATCACATTGTAGATACATTTTTTCCCTTTAGTAGTACTTCTTTTGCATCTACCTTTTCTGCAATTTGGATATTTTTAATGCAGCTACCAAGATACAACTACTGCTTTAAGGTGTAGCAAGCAGGGTTCACGAGTAGCCGTGCTGTACAGTCCAGCAAAGTAATCCGTAAACTACTTGTTAAGTTCAGGGAAGAAAGGGGTGAGTTCTAGCAGTTTCAAAACCACTAGAGTCTGAAGAAACTGATGGAAACCAGGGCTGATATTCTTTGGTTTTGTGCAGGAAAACTGAGAAGAAAAGAACAAAAAAAAAGTAAATAAACTGTCTTTATTCCTTCCAGAAAAGCTCCTTTAATCTGTTCTAGCTTTCTTAAATAGACCTATAATGGGAAAACAACTAAGAAACCAATAAACTGTACAACTAGGAATTTCTAAACTAAAAAAATTCTTTTATGATAAGAGTCCTAAATTGACAAATAAGTATTATAATAGGAATCCTAAACTGAAAAAATAATGCTTGTAATAAAAATCCCAATTAATAACTGACAAAGAAACTCATATAATAAGAATCCTAAATTGATACCCAAAAGAATTGTTTAGAAGTAAAACCAAAGATAACATGGGGTCTGCTTAGCTGAGCTAACAGGGATGCTGCCTTAGAGTTAGTATTGCCCCTTTGATAATACACCTTAGCCACTTGGGGTGGTCTGACTGTTCAAAAAACTGACCTATGACCTGCTTGGGGTTTGATGGAGGTTGGATGGGCTGCAATTGATTATTTTGGGCAGTACAGGTTGATGCCTGCATGAGTTTTCCTTCTAGATATTGACACTTTGTTTAAAAGTCAAAATTGTCATTTTATATTTGCAGTCCTTTTATTGCTATTTTTTTTTTTTATTTCTTTTAACGAAGAACTAATCTGGACCTATTTTTTATCAGCTTTATTCTCTTGGTGACAGATTATTGTTGTTGTCATCATTTTCATCAGCATCTAAGCCTTATTCTCTCCATTATAGATCTTAATATATTATTCATGTTCTTTATAGTTTCATTTTAGATTCTAATTTCACCTTGGAATTAAGGGTTTCAAGTCAAGAAGAGGAAGTGAAGAACTCCAGTTCTTTAAATGGGTGATTTTTCCGGAACAATTGATGTTGAAAGGCTTATTTCTTATGGTGATGATCTCATTGAAGTCTTCATGAATAGAAGGGATGTTAATAACTTTGCACTATCTTTGGAAGGAGTCAAGATGCTTCAATCATCTTGTGAGGCAGATTTTTCTGAGGTTAAGAATCTATTGGAAGGTTTGTTTTCCTTCCTGGTTGTCTTTGTCATCTTTTCTTTTACCATATCCATTATCTGATTTAATTCAGAGGTTTTAACTTTTAAGCTTGACATTTTTCCTGAAGCATTCTATCCCATTTTGCATGCTTGTCAATGGTTGACAATTTAGAATATTACTGTGATGAAATTCTGTAGCTTCTGGAAATGGCTTCTGCACTTTAATTTTGAAGTTCATGCTTCTGGAAATTCAGTGTAACAATATTGTTTTGAAGATTATAATATTTGTCCCAACAATTTTGTCTTCAAGGAAGTTCTGGTTGGGTTACAGAAAGCTTTCCATCAATAGATCTTATACTTGATCTAAGTTACATTCCTCTACATTATTTTATTTATAATTTTTGAGGGTTGCAGTGGGGCATGTCAGTGATTTAAACCTCAGGCATGCCTAGGCCTAGGTGCAGCCCCTTCAAAAATGCGTGTGCCTGGTGCACCTTGTGCCTCAGCCTAGGTGTGTCATGTGTACCTTAGGCACTGGGGCAAGTTTGCTCACTGCTTGGATGGTATTGTATTAATTAGTGCCAAGGTTCATCACTTAGCCCTTATTTGCATTGATAATGGATGAATTGACTAAACATATTTAAGATGAGATCCCATGGTGCATGTTTTTGGTTGATGACATTGTTTTAATTGATGAAGCTAATAAAGGATTAAATGCAAAATTAATCTCGTGGACAAATGCCTAACAAGAGGTTTTGAAGTTATTAGGACTAAAACAGAATATATGACATGCAAATTTAATAACAATGGGAGTACAAATCAGGGTACACTTAGGATTGGAGATCAAGGGATAACTCAAAGTGACCTTTTTCCTTACCTTGGTAATTCAGAACAAGGGAGAGGTTGGGGAGCATGTTGCCTATAGAATTAGAGCAGGATGGGCAAAATGGAGGGGTGCATCTGGATTTTATGTAATAGGTGAATACTGCTAAGATTAAAAGGAAAATTCTAACAAACAGTTGTAAGGCCAGCTATGTAATAGGTGAATACAACCATGAGCATCAGCTACAGGTATTTACCAAAGCTATTACTCATGCCAGACATGTTTTCTTGGCTGACAAACTAATGCTGTTCTCATAGCCTTAGTTTGAGGGGGAGTTTAGAAAGGATGAATAATATTCACATTCATGTGTTTTTTATATTTCTTTTTTGGTCCCTTGGAAGGGCCTTTCTGTATTATACGTAATTTGACCTTTGAGGTGGGGTCAATCGTTCATTCACTTGACACCTCAAATGAGTTCTGTTTTTGCCTGGTTCTCCTCTTCTACTCTCTAGCATGTGAATTGATAACCTTGGATTAATTAAACCGGCCAATGTTTATCTTGTCTGAGTTACACGACTGATAAAAAAGTTGTTAACGAGTTGGTTATGAAATGATCTTTCATTTATATCCATTTAAAGTCCAAGGAAGATTGGGTCTCTGTTGGAGGATTATATTTGCATTTCAAAACAACTGTCCTTTAGTTTATTTGCTTTTCATTTTTTTTGGGAACAAGCATTAGAAATAAGGAAAATGCATTGAAACTGTTTAGTGTGAAGTGTGGCCATTTAAAAGCTATGCTACCTTTTGCTTTTCTCATCATTGAGAATTTTGAATACCAACAGTATTGTGGGCTACATTATGCCTTCTAATCCATATCCATCTTGACAAAAGATGTGTATATATGTATCTATATGTGAGTTTCTGTGTATGTGTGAATGTTGTTAAAGTCTGATAGGGGCAGTTTTTCCGTATTTACCTTTGTTTTTAGTCCATTTTTTTAAACATTTTTTTCTCAAAGAAATTTATTTAAACATCTTCTTGAGGGCATTATTGTAATTTCTGTCGTCTTTTAGAAGCTGAATATTACTTGGGTTGACAGCGAGAGAGTCCGGTTCGATACACACACACACACACACTCTCTCTCTCTCTCTCTCTTTCTCCTGAAAACTTTTTTTTTCATCTTTTCTCTACTTTCTCTATCAACAGAACCTTTCTACTGTGATTTCTTTTTTCTTTCACCATTTTTTTAGCTTTTCTAAGCTAATATTGGTATCAGAGCTCCAGGTTTTATTCTTACCTGGTCTGGACATCATTTCAGCCTCTCCTCTAGAGAACTACTCTTTCAAGGGAAGGAAAAGGATTGCAAAGGACTGATCACCCTCTAAGTAAAGAGGCTTTAATGCCTCAATTGGCAGTTCAAAGAAGGGCTGTTTTTGGGGTTTTGAATGGTTGGAGTAAGTTTCCATGACTTTGTGGTGATTGTGTAAGATGTTTTGGTGTGATAGTAGTTGAGTTATGTGATTATGGGGTCAGTTAGTGATTCAAGTAAACCTACCAGTTTTTTGTGTTCTTCTTCTGTGGTAGAAAATGAAATGTGGTATGTGTTCAAAGGTGGTTGTGTGGTGTAATTTTTTTTTTTTGGAAAGTTAACCATTAGCTCTATGTCTTACACTTATGGCTACATAAACAAGTGGTTCCAAATCTGCATCTGTGTTACAGTGACATTATGAACATCTAGCTGACTATTTTCAAGCTCAATGGTATGAGTTATGTAAATTGGTTGAGGTTTATCTGATTTGTTGAGGCTAACTGAAATATATTAAGAACAACCCAAGAGTGGGTCTGAAGGATATAGTGAGTGGGCGCAAGAAAACACACAAATTATGACTTCATTGTGGAACAATATGGAAAATCAGTTAAGTGTTAATCTTATGTTTCTGGATACAACAAAATAGGTTTGGGAGCATGCTAGGCAACTATACTTCAGACAAGACAATGTTACAAGAATTTATCAACTGTATAAATAGTACTTCACTCTCCAATAGGGAGATAAAAGTGTGGAAAAATATTATGCTTCTTTGAAGAGCCTAAGGAATGAATTGCATGTTTACCAGCCTCCATACAGATTTGAAGGTGCAGCAAGGGCAAAGAGAACATTTGGATGTTGTTAGATTTCTATCAGGGTTGAGGTCTGAGTTTGAACCAGCGAGAGCTTAGATTTTAGGAAGTAGTGACCTTCCTTAACTTTTAGAGGTGTTTATGCACATTAGGAGGCATCCACCCCACATAGTGATATACTACTATGTTAGAGAAATCGACCTTAGCAGTTACTAGAGGTGGTGGTGGTAGTTGGGACTTTCGTGGAAGAGGTAACAATTAGAGGTGGTGGTCGTGGCTTTAGGGGTAGTCGTAGTACTAGAAGGGAAGGAAGAGGTAGTGGTAGGCGTAAGTACCATGGACTCTCGGCGGTTGGTCAAGTCTCCGAAGGTCTGAAGAGACGATGGGGGAGAGAGGGGAAGAGAGGAGAGAAGGGAGAGATCTCTCTATGAAACCTAGGGTTAGGGCTATGTGGTAGTTTGATCTGGGAGGAGGCTTGTCCCTCCTTCTATAGATGGGATCTTGAGGCTATAAGGAGAAAATCTTAAAAGAGACCGTTCTTTATTAGGAAATGGGATCTTTATCTTCATGTCAGCTATCAAGCAAATTCCATTAAGGTTTCGCCATGTGTCTAGTGAGACTCTCTAGGGATAGAGTTTCCTTTCCCTAAGGATTCTTGCATAGCACATGTTGGTTACACCCCTTCATGGGTTCTCTTGTAGCCACATGTCAGGACTTTTGATCGGTTGATGTGTTCGAATGTCTCCATAAGTCATCTTTGGAACGTTTTGCTGCTGCAAGCCGCGATTGTACGGAGCGCGAGTTGCATGTGAATATATATTGCTAGCTTTGGCTTTATTCATTGTTTATCATGGTGTGAACTACTATTTTATGCTCATCGGAGGGTACTGGTAGCGTATTAGGTTCGTCACAAGGCTGCAATGTCATTTTATGCTCATCGCAGGTTTTAGATAGTATTCTCTGCTTATCGAGATCTTGGGTGGTGTTTTATGCTCATCGCAAGTTCGTAAGCCTTGTGTTACCTTTGTGGAGTGTTGCTGTGCTATTACAGAGGTTTGTTCGCCGTTTTGGTACTTTGGGCATTGTCCATCATCTTTATCTACGGCTTCAATTATAAATTCCATGATGGTGAGCTACATGTACTTACAATAGTAGTAGAGGACATGGTCAGGCCAGTGAGTGTTCCCACTGTGGCCAAGAAGGTGATACAATCAATTTTTGTGATGACTTGCATGGCCCACCTTCTTGGGGTAACCATGCATGGTAGAAGATGACACTAGAAACAATGTTCCTATTGATGAATCACCTGCTACAGGAGTGGGTAAGGATAAGGAGTTGGTTTCCATTACCCGTGAAGAGTATGAAAGACATCATCTATCTTTTTCTTCTAGGGCTACTTCTACCCTTGCCAACTCAGGTACAACTTGTCTTACTTCCTATTCTAAATCTACACCTTGGATAATTGACTCTAGAGCTTTAGATAATATGATTGGGACTTTAGAGTTGTTTATGTCTTTGTCCCCTCCTACCTCTTGGACTGTAACTTCAGATGATGGGTCATCCTCCTCTGTTACTAGTACCGGTAATGTGTCTCTTGGTTTTGACCTTCAGTTGACTTCTGTTTTTTATGTTCCAAAATTTCTTTTTAGCCTTTTGTTTGTAAGCAAGCTGACTCAATCTTTTAACTATTCCATGATCTTTTATCCATCCTATTGTATTTTTCAGGATCTTACGACGGGGAAGATGATTGGTTGAGGTTGTGAAGTTGGAGAACTATACTACCTAGATGAGAATGGTCCACGAAGAGTTCTTCACTCATCTCTCACTCATTGTGAGTCATGTGAACTTGGAAAACATTGTAGACAGTCTTATTTAATGAGTAATGAAAGATCCAACTTCTCCTTTTTGTTATACAGGAGAGAAGAAGAGAGGAAGAGAGAAGAAAGAGGAAAGAAGAGAGAAGAAAGAGGAAATAAGAGAGAAGAGAGATTTGAAAGTCAAAAGATGATGTTGGCGGCACCATCTTTTAGTATTTATACTAGGGCGACAAGACATAAAAAATAAAAGAAGAAAAGGACAATAGTACCTCTGCGGTACTATACTTAAAGAATAACCAACTTTTAACACTCCCCCTCAAGTTGGGACATAGATGTCAATCATGACCAACTTGGCACATAAATCGTGATGTAACCCTTTTGTGAAGATGCCTGCAAGTTGGTCTTCAGAGCTAACATAAGGGGTACACACTTCCCTTGTGACGACCTTTTCTTTGATAATTCTATCATGCAACACTTTTGGCAGCAATGTTTATGGTTGCTTTGTTATCACATAATAGAGTCATAGGTCCATCAACTGGAAAATCCAACTCACTCAACAAATTTTTTAGCCACATAATTTCAGTCACTCCATGAGACATTGCCCTATATTCAGGTTCAGCACTAGACCTATCTACCACATTCTGCTTTTTGCTTCTCCATGTAACTAGGTTCCCTCCCACAAAGGTACAATAGCCGTTAGTCAACTTCCTGTCATTTAGGGATCCTGCCCAGTCTACATCGATATACACTTCAACTTTCAAATGCCCGTGCTTTTGAAACAATAAGCCTACACCCGCCCATTCGCTACATATACACAAGGAAGACATGTCAGCCATGAACAATCCCATGCACATGTCGTGATTTCCTTGTACACTATAAATATTTGAGAATAAACGAGTAGGGCAGTTTTAATGTAGTAAGAGACCTAAGATGGGAAGTTTCACTCAGGCGGGGAAGTGGTGAGTGGAGCTGGCTATAGAGTCAAAGAAATTCCTATTCGAGCAGGGACGGCAAAGGGCAAGTCGTACTTGAAGATCAGGGAAGGAAATAGGGCAACGGTTATTCTACCAGAGGAAGCTTGCAGTTGGCTGAAAGGTTTTGTTGATGGAGTAGTCAATACTATCAAGGAAGAAGGTTGGAAAAACTCACTGAGTTGCGGTGGTAGAAGATACGATGCAATACTTAGGAAAAATGAGAGGGGCTGGTTCTCACAGTAACAGAGTATTTTGGCATCAACAAGAAGCAGATGATTTGTGTGCTGGAGGGGCCAAGGCCAAGGGAGCAAGGTTGGAGCTCCTTTGCTAGGAACCTTCAAGCTTTCCTAGTGAAGGTTGAGAGGAAGGGSGAAGAGCCTAATGGAAGCCCAATGGTTTGTAACTCCACCTCCCTCTGTTTACCAGCGTCGAGTAAGAAGCAGACCCCGCTCTGTCAAGAGGTCTTAGTAAACTCTGCAACTGTTCTTCGGAAGATAACTCTCGATGAAGAAGGAAGCAACTGGGAGCACAGAATGGTGTTAAAGGTAGATAAGGTGGTAAGGGATTGGACAAAAGTCCTAAACACAGTGGCAGAGAGATTGGGTGTTGATAAATGTTACTTTGTTCTAATGTGGTTTTCTTTATTTTTTCTTTCACCTTTTTTTAACCTTTTCTTAGTTAATAAATGTTACTTTGTTCTGCTTGATGAAAATCCTCCGTAGCAGAGTATCGGAGAAAGATAGATGAGTGCAAGCAAAGGATGGATGATGCAAAATCTGAGGTTATCGCTGATGCTGATATTGAGTTTCTTCAAAAAGAGTTGGATGAGGAAATTCAGAAGGAGCATTTACTTAAGGAGGAGCTTAGATAAGTATCCAATTAGTAACATTTTTATTCATTTCTATCTATTAATGATTTCATTTACAGTGTTTTCTTTGAAAACCTGGCTAGCAATGTCAGTTTTATTGACTAATTAACTTAAAATTTTTGTCAACACAATTGTTAGTGATGAAATTGATGATCTTGAGCAGCAGAGGGTTTCTATTGAAGAGCGGAGACAGTTCGTAAAGAAGCTTGAAAAGGATGATTTGAGGGCGCAGTAAGTATCTTACTATCAATTAAATGTTTGCTTCTGAAAGCCTTTATTTTTATAATGATAAGATTGTATTTGTACATGTTACTATTGTCATAAAACATGCTGTACAAAGCTTTTTTATCTGTTTTATATCTTTCAATCTAAAAAATGAAGTGAACTAATACCTGTAGTTAATGGTTGGGCCTTCTAGTCTTCCTCCAATGACATGAAATATGTCTTGAAATTTGAACTCATATAATATTTTAACTTTATTGGTGGATCACATTCAAAAATTTGTTTCTTTATATGTATTTCATAAATTTGAATGTTTTAGTAACTGTTTCATTGTATATGATGAAAATTTTATTATATATTTATCATGTTCATCATGTTTGTAACTACTATGTCGCCCTATATATAATAATATAAGCTGGCGTTGCCAGCTAGTTAGTTGACTCCAAAACCTTTCTCTTCTAAGCCCTTCTCTTCTTCTTCCTTATTTCTCCTTGAAGGGAAGGGAAATCCATCATATGAATGGCCGAACCATGCAGGGTGGTTGGGCGAAATTTCAAAAAAGTCTTTTCTCCCTTCCGGGAATCGTATTCCCAGTTTTAGAAAAACTGCATCTTTCAAGGTTCGTTCTTGCACCAAACTGGACTAGATTTGAAATTAAAATAAAGGGAGAGCAATACCTGATACGGAATCCACACGTGTAACTCCCAACGTAGGTGTTCACGCCCAAAGAGGGTACCAAAACCCACTTCCACTGAAGATGGTGTAGCTTGAGATGAAGCAGCTTCAGCAATGCAATTCTTCAGCAAGAACTGCAATCCAACGGATTGGATCAAGCAAGGGAGGTGAGCACGAGTTTGATATGATATTTTCTTGCAAAATATCAGAACTAGAACTGATCTCTATCAGTTCAAGAATGGATGTTGAATTAGGTTTAGGGTGGCAAGAGCAGGAGGGAGAGAGAGTTGAGAGCAGAGTAATCTGGAGCAGTTCACCCTCCCCTATTTATAACCCTTAAAGAGCTGATCTCCTAATCTGATTAAGAGCTTCCTAATCCAAATCTTTATTTGGATCTGGACTCTTTAAGTGGATAAGAGTTATCCTCTTATCTTATTTGCTGATCCAAACCCAGATCCATACCCATATTCGCCCATGTCACATGATTGCTTAAACTGTCATGTGGCACCCCTGATTAATCTTATTAATCTTGGGCCCTAGGCCCATTAAGTAAGTGGCTCACGTCCTTTATTGATTGCTGGCTAACTTGGCTCTCTTTGTATGGCATGGGACCCTAACATTGACCTCACAAAAGTCCACATGGGTTCAGCCTAGTTTCTGTAACAAAGCCTGGCCGAATTCACTACTGACACAGTGAACCCCTGAGTCTACTATGGGCTCTTCATGGGCCCAACATTTACACTAAATGGTCCTTGAGTCCAGCCATCCAATGAAGGTCTAAGGACAATGGACTTGAGTGAGATATAGTCCATCAGGTATAAAAGCCCTAAATGGTCTTACACTTAACCTTTCAGCCCTTAATGATCAAACACTGCCCGACAAGAGAGGACCTCTCCCTCGGTTGTGTTGAAGATTAATTAGTTTTATGATGTTTTTTTGAGTAGATGTTTTATGTTAGTTGTTAGATAGGAGGTGGGRACCAYRRTAGTTATGTGRRTCCAAATTTTATTATGTTTTTGAGTGTTATATATGCTGTTTTATGTTTTGCCGCCCTATAAGGGCATAGTTGTCTTTGTACTATTCTATTATTTTAGTATAAATAATAAGTGAAGGGGGTGGCCAGATTATTGCTCTCTTTTCTTTTCAACTTCTCTTATTCTCTTCTTCTCCTTCTTTCTTCTCTCTTCTCTCTTCAAGAAACTACTTTTCTTTTATATTTTTTAATTCATCAGATTTCTACTTGGTATCAGAGCATCGGCTAGGGTTTTTTGAAGCATTCTCATGCAACCCTAGATCAGCCGACTGCATGAAGTAGTATAGGGCTGATTGATCTGCTATGGATCGCCCAGTTCTTGGAGTTTTTGGTGGGATCTAGACATTAGGAAGGTGATCTACTGTTTGACATCAAAATCAGGAAGAACTAGAGTATGGGGAAGAGTCCCAGAAAAGTTGGATTCTTTGTTTTTGATTTGATTTTGGGCGCCCAGGTATTGTTAGTTTTCTTTTGATTTTTTGAAAAGGGCGGTTTGGTTTCTGGAATTTTCTAGGCCTCCCGGAGTGATTGATTCACTTTTCTCTTTGTTGGGAGGCGTGGGGAGGAGAGAGATTTCCCTCCATCTAGGGTTTTCTTCTTCCGGAAGGGTTGGTTTCTGTGTGTGATATTAAATTATTTTTTGAAGGTCTCCAATCTATTTTTTTTTCTTACTATTGAACTATTTGAAGTAAGATGGAGAGTTGGAATACCGAGATGAAATCTACCGATACTGTGGGACTGGGTGTTGGTGGTAGTAGTGATATTTTTGGGTCTGGGATCATTATTATAGTAAAACTTGATGGTACAAATTATTTGGAGTGGGCACAATCAGCTAAGATGGCTATTGGTGCCTGTGGAAAATTAGGGTATCTCACTGGGGAGGAGAAGAAACCTGATACAGACTCTTCCCGATGGGTGTAGGAGAATTACATGGTAATGTCCTGGTTGTGTAATTATATGTTACCTCATATTGCAAAAAAATTCCTATGGGCTAATACTGCTAAGGAGATTTGGGATGGAGTGACTGAAACCTACTCTCAGAAGCAAAATGAAGCCATGGCCTATCAGTTAAGAAATCAGGTGATAAGTATGAAACATGGGAAAAACCTGTTGCTGTGTATTTCTCCATGCTGAAAATCCTATGGCAGGAAATAGATCACTTAGAAACTGTGGTATGGGAAAGTGTAAATGATGCAACAACTTATCACAGACTGGTAGAGAGGAATAGGATTTTTGAGTTCTTGGCAGGGCTGAACCCTGAATTTGACATTGCTAGGTAGCATATTCTTTCTAGGGAGGGTGTAACACTTTCTCAGGCCTATGCTTTTGTCTCTGGAGAGGAGAGTAGGAGGAATGTAATGCTGAGACAGCCTGGGATTGACCAGTCGGTTATGGTTGGTACAATAAAACCTATGCCGAATGGAGACAGGGGGAGTAGTGAGACTAGAAGGACTTGGTGTGTAATTATTGCATGAAGCCTAAGCATACCAGGGACACTTGTTGGAAGCTTCATCCAAATCTTATGCCTGCTCGGATAAAAAAAAAGAAGGGAAATGCAAATGTAGCCACTACAGGAGACTTTTCAGCCCCTCTCTCCCAAACTGATTGGGAATTCATTGCAGTAGCAATAGTGAGAACAGAATTGGAGAGGTTTGGACAGTTTATTAGTAAGAAAAATTCATCCAGCTCTAGCCTTCCCGATGGACAGCAGAATGCAGGAGCCAACTACACCACTTCCTTTGCACATACAAGTAGTTCATATGCAACTGCAAATCTTGCATTCACTTCAGGTAAGGAGGGACCTCCCTGGATTATAGACTCTGGAGCATCTGAGCATTTGACTAATGCCCCTACCATTTTCAGTTCCTATCAGTTATGTTCTGGTAGAGATAGAGTCTCTACAGCAGATGGTTCACATATGCCCATTGTTGGGAAGGGGACAATTAGAGTGACCAATGATATAACTCTTTCTTTTGTTTTACATGTCCCTAGACTTCATACCAACCTACTGTCTGTTAGTTCTTTGACAAAAAGTTTGAATTGTTCCGTGACCTTTCTTCATGCTAATTGTGTTTTGTAGGATTTGGAGTCAAAGAAGATGATTGGGAGTGGCTGTGAGGTGAATGGAGTCTACCTGTTGGATGAGATTCTGAGACATCAGGGCCATCATGTTAGCAGCAGCAGTAGTAGTGGGTTAGAGTCAATGAACCAGATTATGCTTTGGCACAATCGTTTGGGACATCTTTCTTTTAGTTCTTTGAAATGTCTTTTCCCAAAGTTGTTTGAGTCTGTTCAGTTATCTACTTTGGAGTGTGAGAGTTGTCAGTTAGGAAAGCATTGTAGACAGTCTTTTAAACCAAGTAATAAAAGAAGTACTTCTGCTTTTAATATTGTTCACACTGATGTACGGGGGCCATATCATATCCCTTCCATGGGAGGATTCCGTTACTTTTTCTTGTTTGTGGATGATTATACACAATATTCTTGGATATATTTAATGAGATCACGTGATGAGGAAGTTGCAAGATCATAGAATTAATGGTGTGGATGATTATACACGATATTCTTGGTGAGCTCAAATACTTCTTGGGGATTGAAGTTGCAAGATCCAAGCATGGGATCTTCATTTCACAGAGAAAGTATGTATTTGACCTACTGCGGAAGACTGGGAGGCTGGGGACCAAGCCAACAGACACTCCTTTTGATCCAAATCACAAAATTAATGGTGTGGATGGTGAGTTGGTAAAGGATGCGGGGAGATATCAAAGAATGGTGGGCCGACTGCTGTATTTGTGTATGACACGACCAAATATTTCTTATGCTGTCAGTGTTGCGAGTTAGTACATGCATGCACCTCGAGTTCAACACTGGGAAGCTATTGAGAGAATACTTGCATATCTGACAAAGCACCCTGGCAGAGGCATTCTTTTCTCAAATGATGAGAATCTAAAGTTAGAATCCTATACAAATGCAGACTGGGCAGGATGCTTAGATGACAGAAGGTCTACATCAGGAGTGTATAGCTTTGTAGGTGGAAACTTGATCTCCTGGAAGAGTAAGAAGCAAGCGGTTGTGGCAAGGTCAAGTGTAGAGGCTTAGTATAGATTCATGGCTCATGGTGTCTCAGAACTTCTTTGGGTTAGACCTCTTTTGAGTGAGATTGGGGTGAAGGCAGAGGAACCTATGATGTTATACTGTGACAATCAGGCTGCAATCAATATTGCCCACAATCCAATTCAACATGATAGGATAAAACACATTGAAGTTGATAGACACTTTATAAGAGTAAGGGTAACAACCA